TGTATATATATATATGTATTTTTTTAAGCCCCGCAGCCATCCAACAGCATTACATTTCAGATACCTCTTTGAAACCTCAGTTTCCTATAGCAGGCAATGAAAGTACTGTACATGTGTTCTGAACATCAGCTCTCCTATCTACAACCTATCTTTCCTGAACTGAGAATAAAGATATATTGTCCCAGCAGCTAGTGGTAAGTTGAATCAAGGTGCCAGAAGACTGCAAACATGTTACATTGACTTGATGTGCTGAATTAACTTAGAGTATTTAATTAAATTGCCAAAAGCAATCGTGCACTAACTTTGAAAGAATTAAACTAACTGCCTATCAAATGTATTAACATTGTTAACAAGAACAGGCATTTAAAATGAGATTTGTTTCATTAATTAAGTTTTAATTTCCTTCTGTTAACTTTACCTGTTTCTGGATAATGTCACTTTGATTAGAAGCCTGAAGGGTGTGCTCACGTTTAATTTCTATCTGTTGCTGCTTTTTCTTCTGTTGCTGCTCCCTGAGCTGCTGAACTCTCTGCAGCTGCTCCTGAACACTAGCTGCTTGAACTGTTACCACATTCTGAATCTGGTGAGCCTGTACTGGGCTAGTTTGTTGGATCTGAATAGGTAACTGAAGCTTGATCTGCTGGGGCACACTGCCTTGTTGGGCTTGTATCTGAGCCACAACATGTGACTGAAGCTGAGAGAGAACTTGGACTTGTTGCTGAAGCTGAGGCACTGTAATAACTTTTGTTGGAGGCTGCTGAAGTTGCAGCTGAGGACGAGTTGGGGATTGCACAGGAACCTGATTTAAACTTTGAGTAGTTGGAAGGGTTGAGACTGAAGTCTGAACCTGAGGTTGTGATTGCTGCAGCTGAGCTTGAATTTGTATGGGAGCATGGGGCTGCATCTGAATCTGTTGTTGGGTTGTAGTCTGCACCTGAGCTGGTTGCTGAGGCTGCACTTGGGACTGGCCTTGTGGAAGGATTGCAGTCTGCGGCTGACTCTGGACTTGCACTGGAGATTGCCCTTGAGCCTGGGTCTGTGCTGGAGACTGAACTGGAGATTTAGATGATTGTGCTTCAGGTGTGACTGGAGAGCCAACAGATGCTGGAGTCTGAGATTCAGGCTGGGTCTGAGTTTCAGGCTGAAGCGCTGGCTGAGGTGCCTGTGGCTGGGCCAGAGGCACAGGCTGAGTACTCTGGTTCTGCACGTGAGGCTGGGCTTGCTGCTGACTCTGAGGCTGTGGCTGAATTGGCGGCAGCGCTGATGTTGGCTGTGCCTGTAGAGCTTGCTTCTGTTCCCCTGTAGCTGTGAAGGATAAAAAGTATTCCATTCATTTCAAATGACAAGTCTATGAGCATTACTATTTTGAACCTTTTAGAATTACTGTAAAGCTCTATGTGGAAATTCAAGAGATTTTTAAGCTTATAATACACTTCCAACAAATTTACTGTAATAACAGACTATCTCCGACTGCATAAGAACTCCCATGCAACTGAAATTGAAGCTTTTTTCCTGTTGAACAGAAAAATGCTTACCTGAGGTTGAAGTAGAAACTGTTGTTGTAGTTGTGCTAGCTGTAGTAGCAGCTGCTGGTAGTGGGGTGAAAAGAAATCTCTGAATTGTACCATTTGGCATAGCTGCTTGCATAAGCTGTTGTCCTGGACCAGGTATTACAGTCACACCCTGAGGGATTAATTGTAATTGACCAGTAGTTTGACCTTGTCCCTGAATTACCACAGTTAATCCTTGACTGCCACCCTAAAAAAAAGTTAATATTGATGTGTTAGTGATATATTTCTTAGACAGACTTTGCTGAAAATCAGAATAATTAGGGGTTTGGATTTCAGAATTCAGTACTTTTACCACATACCACATTCCTAAAATCCAAAACTAACATCTGAGATCATGAAATACTAAAATGTTCATTCAACAATTCCATTATCAACAGATTACTGGGTGGTTGGAGTTAGTTACACATATTTTCATCCAAATACTGACAAGAACTCTAGCCAGAAAGCAGCCACAATGGAACATCTTTGTTCCTAGAATTTACAAGCAATACAGAGCATGGATAATTTTAGACATACTATTAATTACTTTCTCAAGAATCCCACCAGTTTGTGTAAAATTCTCTGCACTGAAAACATTTCTTAACTGCTTATCAGATCATACCCAACTGTCAACTTTCATGACTGACTGTTCAGTCTGTAATGTATTGTGAATTTCTGTTGCTTAAGCTAACACTTAGGCAGCTCATGACATCACTCTTAACTCAGTGATGGAGACGGTAGGGTATTGTCCCAACACCTAGATGCAGAATTCCGCATTTTGTGACCCCATAGAACAGAATAAGGTCCCTACAAAAATCCTTCTGAGTCTTTTGGTGTGGAAATGAACTGATTCTTGTTCCACATATAAGAATCTTATCTGGCAACAAGCAGCCTGTCCATTACAATCATTTACGTATATTATTTATAATCTGAAGAATAGGTATTGTGGTAACTCACAGAAGTCTGTTTTTACCCTATGCTTGACTCTCAAATTATTTTTTTGCCAACAGACCTTCATGATCTGAGCAGAAGCTGTAAGAACTTTTTCCTCCTCCAGTTCCAGATACTGTAATTTTTCCTCTGAGACTCTGGATAGCATGAATAAAAACTAAATCTTCACACAAAATCAAAAGACAAGGAACGAACATTACGTTCTGAAGGTCTACAAAACAGGCTATACAAAATAATTAATGTCCCTTACTGCTATTAATGCAAAGCCTTTTTTCCATACTGCTAAACTTTCCTGATGCTAGTTACATTACTGGGTAATACAATAGGAAGAGATATATAAAACTTAACTTATACTATTTACGATTCTTTCAGTCTGTAATTATGCTATCGGTCATCCTAAATAAAGGCTGAAACATAAATTTATGAGCAAATACACTACACTGCTGAAATCCAAAGGCTTGATAAGATGTATCATAAGTATTAGCACATTTTCATGCCCAGAGGTTGTAAAATATTTTACCTGTCCTTGTGTTAGTTGTGTGAGTTGGGCCATAGTAAGTTTCACTTGTCCCTGCTGAGGACGAGGAGGCTGCGATGTGGTTTGTGGCTGTATTTGCTGAGGTGGTGTTCCAGGACTTGTGACGGTCTTCTGTCCAGCACTGGTAGAAGCTGTGCTGGTACTAGAAACTGCTGTTGAGACAGGCTGACCCCTGATTATTTGAGTCACCACTTGCTGTGTCTGACCTGTAAGAGAATAATTTGGGATAAGAAACACGTTTCCAACATTTTAACCATTAGCACAGCAAACCTCCGAGTCACAACAACTTGCAATAGTGTATAATCAGACAAGTGAAGCAAACGCTGCAGTTTGCACATCAATTTTCTTTACAAACCATTTGTCTGTGTGGTTGACTGAAAAATGTCTGCAAAATGTTTTCTATTTTAATTCAATTCACATACTTACGAGGACTTCAAACACTCAGCTTGCCTTCCAAAAAAAAAAAAAAAAAAAAAAAAAAAAAGCCTTTCTCAATGCACAATTATTCCAAACTTTTTTGTTTGTTTTCAAATGAATGGACTTAAAAATAAGTACTAGATTTCCCAGTGTCAATCATGAACAACCCTGACAAAGCCTGCAACTAACACATTCAAAAGCCAGAAGACGCACTTGTTAGAAGTCAAGCATCAAAATGAGGTATTTTTGCATTGGGACATATGATAGAGAAAGTATTTATGAAGGAACAAACCATGGATTTCACACTGGAAATTTAAATATTAAAATGAACCTACTGGCTGGAAGAATACCTTGTTGCACCACTAAAGGTGTTCGAATGATGGTCTTTCCAAGCGTTGACTGCTGAAGTGGTGTCCGTATTACTGTCATACCAGGGCGGAGGGGTGTCCCTTGCACTACCTACATACACCAAAAAGGAGAGCATATGTAAACTTTGTGAAAAAAGCCACTGGGATATGCCCTGAAGTTGTTGGGTTGTTTGTTTTTTTTTTAATATAGTGAGAAATAACAAGATGCAAGCAGATCCAATATTTTTTCATCTATGCCCACACCGCTAAGGCTTACCAAGCTCTAAACTATTAATTTTTCCAATTGGAGAGAGTTGTTGTACCTCCTTGGAATAAAGGATCCATAAACACTATTGCTGAGATGAGCCAAAAACATTGAAGCGACTAGACAGAACTTTTAATATCTGCCAATAACTTAAAATATATGCACCCACATTTTTTTGCATTAAATAATCAGAAAAACATCTTACTTGTGAAGTACTTGTTGTTCCCAACGTCCCTGTGGTATTTGGCCTAATGGTTACAGTCGCTGTCCTTGGCTGGAATGAAGTAAATGTTTGACTTGCACCTGTAGTTGATGGAATGATACCCAATACCTTTTGCTGAACTTGAACAACACCTAATTAAAGAAAAATTGAGAATTCATTAATGACATAATTGCCAGCAAAAGAAGTAAATGCAACTCCAGCATGGCATTTAGAAATCAGTCTCCAGGTTTCTAGAACACCTTTGAGTCTTTCAACATTTCTTGGGAGAACCTTTGTCATATTGTAAAAAGAAGCAGCATTATACGTTGTCGATAGTCCAACTACATTTTAAGTTAAGAAATAGGTATTTTAGAAAAGATTAAGGAAAGAGT